TACGAAACCCTGGGTACACAGTTGTTTGTGTGGGTTGCTACGCCCCCCCATAAAGGAGACTGGGTGGGCTGTGGCGAAGGGGGGTCGTTGTTGCGGTTCGGAAGGCCATCAGAGAATTTGATTTTGACATTTGACTGCCGGTCAGACCAAGCTGCAGCTTCTATTTGGCCGCCATTGCGTGGCCCTCGGGCGATTGAAGGAATCAAAGCCCTCTCACACGAGGCTGAGCGCAACCCCTTGGGATCTGAGGGTCTTAAATTCTCTCTATCTATCCTTTCCTTTAAGTCTAGTCTTTTGGCTCTGAGAGGAAGGCGGCAGGCGGGCGGGTGGCCCGTAACCCGCGCCAAGGCCTCTGTGGGAGGTTGCCCCACCGATTGCGGGAGCTCTGCCGGGGTTCAGGCGGAGTCCTGGAGGTAGGGAACTGAGTGGTAATCCCTTGACTCCCTCTATAAACCCGTTAGAACCCCTACCGGTACATCCCCCTTTCATTTGACTGAGTATATTGTGTGGATCCTATACTTGGTTTTGAGTTTGACTCTCAGGACATAAGTCAGATTGAAGTAAAGGAATGTATGGGCAAATCTCAGTTCAGCTTGTTGATTGCCTRAAAGCAGATTGTGAATGAAATGGATTGCATCTGGGGTAAGGTTSRGAGGAAGGCARTATTGTGTGCARACTGGTTGGGTCGTCAAGGYTGGGAGGTCCCCATAAGTTTGGGGAAGCCCAGCGCTTTGTTTATTGGTTTGSATGGAGCCTCRKGCCGCTCTATAAGYTCAGGTAGCCTGAARCTCTGGAGGCTGGGATGTCCCCATAAGTTTGGGGAGACCTRGTGMTGTGAATTGCATGGAGGGTCAKGMCRCTCTATAAGTTTAGGTGTSCTGACTGCTCTGACGTGCGTGGGTTGATTGTGCTCGATTTCCAGGGGCTTAGGGTGCTCTATAAGTTTAGGTACCCTGGGTCGCCTTGTTTATTAAGGGATTTCTTCTGTTTCATTGTTTCTAAATGAGGAGGTCTGAACCGCTCTATAAGTTTAGGTGGCTTGACCCTCCTCCTGTTTTGTTTTGAGGGGATAATCCTGGCAGGGGACTGACCGCTCTATAAGTTTAGGTAGCCTGTCCCTCTGCCTCGCACAAACTRGACCAGAGAGAAACGAACCTGRCAGAGTATCAGACCGCTCTATAAGTTCAGGTAGTCTGACCCAATGCCTTGTACATGTTGGAACCCAATGGATATAACCTGGCTATATTGTATTACTATGCTATTAAGGACAGGCTAGTCAAACCGCTCTATAAGTTTAGGTAGCCTGGCTATAGCTTATCACAAAGAAGAGAGTATAACTAAGAAATATAACTGAAGGTGATCTTGGGCAGGTTGAGCAGTGTTCTAAGTTGAGCGGCTCAGCCTTATGTCCCTTTTGAATAATTAAGACTATATATATATATATATATATATATATATATATATAACTTGGCTATTTAACAGTTCAGGGCGACTAGAGTAGCCTAGTCATGCGCCCAAGAAAGAGAGAAGTGGTTGTGCCATTTGTTGGTGTATACCTGACCAAGTCAGAACGCTCTATAAGTTTAGGTATTCTGACTTTAGGCCTGGCTAAGTTGGCCGCGCTTTGTAAGTTCATGTGCCCCGACTTATGCCTTATGTAAGTTGGGTATAAAGGGGTAACTTACTGAGGAAGCATGAACTATTGTTTGCTAAAAGAATTTGGGGTTGGTGAGAGTACTTACCTTTGTGCTTTGGCCTGCATGTGGCTGAGTGAGATTACTACTTGGTCTGGGTTTCAGGTTCACAGGTAGTTGCTTTAGAGGCTCGCCACGTGCTAGAGCAATAGGAGTTAGGTAAATTCCTGCATTTTCTGAGTTGACTTTATTTTACTTAGATTGATTCTTGCATTTATGAGACTCGCTATTATACTTGGACTTGCATAAATTTTGGTAAGCTACTTTCTCTACGGGAAGCGCGACCGAAATTTTTAGAGATTTAAGGAGTTAGACAAATTTTGACTTGTCAAAGTTTAACATGTCTTTTCGTCATATCTGACTTAGTAAAAATCTGGAAAACCTCCTTTTCTAAAGGGAGTGCTGCCCAATTTTTTGCTAATTCAGGGAGTTAGACAAAACTGGGCTTTGGGAAGCCAAAGTTAGTCTCAGGTTTCAGACTTAGCCTTATGTAAATTTTGGGAGAGCACTTTCTAAGGGGAGTGCTGCCGAAATTTCTGTAAAACTAAGGAATTAGTTAGATTTTGTCTAAGTTGAACTCAAGGCTGGGGGCTGAGTCCAAATTTGGCTTGGTATAAATCTGGGTAATCCCCGATTCCAAAGGGGATGCTGCCCAAAATTCTACTAATTCAGGGAGTTAGACAAAATTTGACTTTCCAGAGTTATAGATTACTCCTCTTTTTGATATCTTAGCTTATATAAATTATGAAAAGGCACTTTTCCTACGGGAAGCGCTGCCGAAATTTTCTTAATTAGAGGAGTTAGATTATATTTTGACAGGTGGCGATTCTGGCAATCCACCCTGAATAGGGGAGATTCAACCATTAGTCTACCTTTGCTTGGGCACTGGCTTAAAGGTAGATTTGAACTTAGTTGGCAGGGAGGTTTTGAGTGAAAATGTGCTATGGAGGTTTATCCTCCATATGCTGATGATTTAGCTTGGGCGTTTGACCTATCTTGTGTTATAGGTCCTTTGGGGTGTCTGATTCAAGATCAGGACTAGACTCAGCTTGATCCCCTGAGGATCACCTATTGTTATCACTGATAGCAGGTCGGTTGCCGATTCGTAGGTCTTCGACTCAATTCCAACTCACTCTCTACACTCAACCTAAAAGGCTTTAGCGCTGGTGGTTTTACTGTTTGTTAGGGGTTTCACCCGGACTTTTATTGAATGACCATTTAACAAAGGTGCTGAGTATTTAATTCAGGTTGGTTGGATCGACGGTTGGGGCTTGCATGGCTAAAGCGAAGAGGTATGAGCATTGGGAATGATCCGGGTTGACTCTGTGTAGTGAGTGTTTTGTCGCTTGATTCTTGGTGTGATTGCAGGTATGTCCTGTGGCTCGGATTTTGGATTTGGACTGCCTGCGATCCCATATACATATACATGGTTGTGAGGAGTCCCACTGTGCCTGTGAGAAGTGATCGTCGTATTTCTATTTCCCTTATGCATGTATGCGTGGGTATACCTATGATAAGTGCTCGAGAGACCTAAGAGGCCATGTTAAAACCCGGTTAAAGGTTGAGGTCGAGGGGCGTAGGGGAGACCCTCCCGTCTGCCTATTTGCGTCTTGGGGCTTTCAATGGTCGGACGTTGGTCCTGGGCCGGGATTCAAGGTCTTTGTCTAGGATATCCCAAGCCCTAGGCTCTGCAGGGAAGGGGTTTCCCCTCGCACATAGCCTAATTACTTTGGCCGGCGAGACAACCCGCCGCGACGTCTCGCCGCCCCAGCCCCTAAAAGTTATAGGATCGTCGGGCTTGCACGTAGGCGCAGCGCTTGGGATTAGTATAGGCCACCGACACCACCCATAGAGGGGAAGGGTGCTCCAAGGTCACGAGTCCTTTTAAGAGCCACGAGACCTTTGCCCTATTCCCTCTTTTTGGTTTCGTGCGTGCTTTTTTTTAATTTTTATGGTTGGATGTTGTAGTCCGTGACGGCCGTCAAAGTCAAACCCCTTGACTTTCGCCTAGGCCCGGGGAGGACTTATCCCTAGGGCCGCGAGAGACGACTACCACCACAGGCATGGGCCTGTGTACCGCCCACTCTGCATAAGGGTGCAGAAGAGGGTGTGTGGTCTCCAAACGCGCATGACGGCTGTCTGGCGTCGAGAGATTAACCCTCAAGGCGCGTGTCAGCCGACACTTCAGTGTCAAATATGACCCTTTAGATTAACGAGGACAGCGTGAGTATGGGTACTACATAGTACCATCATTGCGACGGCTTGCGCACATTTGCATTGCAAGTCGATATGAGATAGCCTCGCGTTCGCGCGGTTTTATATCGGGTCTCGCGCGCGACGCCTATCCGATTTCCGCGTCGGAAAAGTTATGGGTTGGCTACCGAGGGGCTAGGAGCGTTATCACGTTGTTTGTGTCGTGCTGTCTTGCGTGTGTGCGTGGGCATGTGTTTTTTATTTTATATTTGTTAAGAGTGATATGCGTTATCGTGTCGTTTCGTACGTGTGCGTGTGTGTATTTTGTTATTTCTGTGTTGTTAGAGTGATGTGCGTATGGTGTGTGGGATGTGTCCTAGTCGACCGACGACGAGTCGCGCTTGGGACCTCAACCCCCCGAGATGTCGGTTCGCGTGCGGGTCCGATAGGTGTAGTACCGCGCGTACCCCCTATGCTACAACGAACGAGAAACGCCCTCGGCTGGTTCACCTCTACGATTGCAGTCGATCAACTTTCGTATTGTGGACTGGTAGCTCGGCGGGGATACACCCACCAATGGGAGGTGACAACTCTCATAAGGTGGCGGTAAGATGTGCCTCGCGTAGGCCCTATCCTGTCGTAGGGGCTCGCGAGAGGTATGGCTGGCGCACTCGGCCGGAGCGGCCTAAGGAAGCTCCATTTGCGTGTTCGTGTCGAGGTTGGTCCAACTCCTGCGTGACGCGACCGAGAGGGTCCCGCACTGCCGCGCGAGGTGCCGGACCGATGCGCTCGACAGGTGGCGCCGTTGCCGGGGATAACGAAAACCTACCGTTGTCCCTGGTGGAACGACATCCGGGTATGGGAGTGAGGGAGAAACTAGGCATATGAGTGAGTAAGGGAAAAACTATGAGATGGACTGTATGGTGATCTATATGACTGTGGGTGAATGATTGATTGATTGACGGCTTGGCTGACAGCTTGAATAAGGCAAGTGTGAGAGGAGATCTTATGAGAAGGGTAGGCCTTATCTAGGTAGGCCTAAGGGAGAATGAGAAGAGAGATGTCTGCCAGGTCTAGAGCGTCGGATGCTTGAGGGGTCAACTCGATAGGGTCGTGAAGGATTGAGTCGCTGAGTGGGGTCTTTCGTCCTATCATTTCTTATAACAAGAAGTTTGAAGCCGGAGGCGATTGGTCAAAATGCCAGAGGAGATGGCGGAAGGTGGGAGAAGGCTTGTGACTCTCGACGACCTCATCGATGCCTTGGACAAGCGCGAGAGGGCGCCGATCAATGTCCCAAAGGTCGAGACATTTCATTTCAAAGGGGATCGGGTATTTGACTGGTTGGATCTGACAGAGCAGGCGCTGGTAGGGCTGACAGATGAGGTCAAGCTCCAGCGGGTTCTAAGGTACGTCCTGCATAGTCACCATCGGAAAGTAAGTAAGGTCGTGGACGCCGCCGGTGACAATTGGAGAAAGTTTGGGGACCTGATGCGAAGGAAGTATAGGCTGGGGGATGGCCTGTTGACCATGGCCGAATTGGAGGCCATGAACAAGGAAGACTTCTCTACCATTGGGGCGTTCGTGCACGAATTTAAGAAAAAGGCGAGGAAAGTGCACGGGATTTCGGAGGAGGCGCAGTGCGCCACATTCCTGGGATTGCTTACAGGCTCGGAGGCCACAGAGCTGACAAAGTATGGGGAAGGGAGTGAGAGGCTCACTTGGGCAACCATTGACAAAGGAGTGGAAGAAGGGAGCCTGGACCAGGTGGAGCAGCACCAAATGAGGCTGCAAAGGCGCAAGAGGAAGGAGAGGGATGCTACCGCATCCGGGCCCCCAGGGGTGAAGAGAATCGTTACGGACGTGTTGGCAGCACTGGGGTATGACAACGAAGCGGAAATACAGAAAAGAGGGGTGCTAGTGGCCCAAGGCCGGGCGTCAGGGGCAGTAGAGGAGGAGGTTGGGCAGGAGGACTACGGCGGAGGGGAGACGGGCTCCCAAGCCCTGACTAAGGCCCAGATGAAGCAGCGTAACCTGCTACTGGGAGGGCAGGGATCAGGGAGGGGGCAGGTTCCCCAAGCCATTGTTGCACCGCCGCCTGTCGCCGCGGCCGCGCCAGCGCCAGCGGGACTATCGCATATGGGGCCGCCACCAACTTGCGGGCACTGGGTGCCGCATTGTCAGTCCGCACCCTGGCCTAGTTGCAACCACTGTGCCTCATGTGGAGGGAGTCAAGCCCACATGGGACACATGGTCCCCTATTCGGGCCCATCGGCCAGTATGGGCCCCCCGAGCTATCCGGCAACCCAAGGCCAGCCTGTGGCCCAACCGCCGCCCTCCCAACAGGCCTCGCAGGCTAGTGTGGCCGGGGGAGGGGGCCAAGGACAAGGCGGGCAAGGCAATGGGGGCTGGGGCCAAGGGGGTCGAGGAGGGCGTGGCCGGGGACGAGGAGGGAGTGGTTGGGGCCGTGGGGGTGGTTGGAATAATCAGGGAGGCCAGAGCCAGGGCGGTCAGGGCAGCCAGGAGGGGGGCCAAGGATATGGGAGGCCCTGCTTCGATTGGCAAAACGCAACTTGTTGGCATTGTGGCGAGGTGGGCCACACCATAAGGTTCTGCCAACAGCGGCGGGATGACGAGCTGGCATGACTGATCTCCTCCTGCTTGGATGGGGACATATACGATAGGTGGGGGAAGCACATCGATCCCAAGACCCCGGGAGGGATTAGGCAGGAAGCCCTCAGACGAGCGGCGGCAGGGCCACCAACAGCCCCAACGATGTTCAGGATATGGTAGGAAAGGGAGGACCCGGGTGTAAGGGTCGAAGAGATCGTGGATGAGAGTGAGGAAGTGACTCAACAACTAAAAGCAGGGACTATAAAGGAGGAGCCTATAGTCGTGGAGTTAGATGATGAGGCGCAGGAGGTGGTAAGAGAGTCAGCCTTGACCATCTTGGAAAGGATGGAGGACCTGCTGGCGAAGGTGGGCAGGTACCAGGAACGATTGAGGGTGATGTGTGAGGAGGCTCGAGAGTGGGAAATGAACCTTCCTGAAGTAATGCTCTATGGGTCCGACCCGGATTCATCATCAGGACCGCAAGGGTGTCCAAGCGTGGCGACGACTGGGGCAGGTCCTAGGTCAGGGATGACCTTCAGGCCCCCTACGTCACATGGAAGGGTGCCACAGGCCGCGCAGACTAGGGGCCAAAGTAGGGCTACCGCTAGTGAAGGGCCCAGCCAGGCACCTGGCCGGGCGCCTCCTCGAAGGGAACCTGAGCCTGAACGAAGGAAGGAAGTGATGGAGGTTCAGGAGGAGGAAGAGGAGGTTGATGACGAAGAGGATGAGAGGCTCCGGCAGGAGGAGGACCAGCGAGCCGAGCAGAGGGCCAAAAAGAGAGGAATTCAGGGAGGGGCGGAGCCGAGCCTGCACGATGGCGTGCCAAAAAGGAAGAAGTATGCGGTCCGGCTGGAGGAAGGTTTTGACGTGGAGCGAATGGTGGACAAGCTCCTGGAGGGCCACAACGATTTGATGAATCTAAAGGATATCTTGGTGTCGGCACCAAGGCTCCGTGACGAGCTGAAAGGGCGGCTCTCACGAAGGTTAGTGCCCAACGTCCACCTGAGCTCAATTCTGCCCAGAGAGATAGAATGGACAGAGGCGGGCACCAGGATGGATTGGAAATGTGTGGCATGTGGGTTGGTGGATCTGAAGGCAAGAGACCAGCCGAGCATCGCAATGGTGGACACAGGCGCCGAGATGAATATCATCCGGGAGCGGGACGCGACTATGCTAGGGCTGGAGGTTAATCATTCGGATCATGGTGTGTTGCATGAGGTCAATTGTAAGGCGATTTTCTGCGGCACCTCGTCTAACGTGATGGTGGAAATTGGGAGGGTAAGGGCGCGAACGTGCTTCTTCGTCATGCCCGATGTCGACCACCCTATCCTTCTGGGGAGGTCGTTCCTCTGCCGAACGGAGACTTTGGTCTTCAATAGGCATGAGGGGACGATGATCCTGGCCCTATCTTATCCGGCCTGCGGGAACTACGAAATCATAAAGTGCCGGAACACAGGGCCCGGAAGTGGGAGGAACAGGCTCAACCTTGGCTCCTTTACCTTCGAGGAGTCTGAGTACGCGCGACGAAGACTCCTGGAGGAACAAGAAAAGGAAGGAGTGGGCGAGGTATTGTCCCTAAGCCTTAACGACGTGAATAAGGCAATGGAGGTGGTGGCGGCGCATGATATGGCTGACCCTGAGGCTATAAAGGCATTGAGGGAGCAGGTCCTGGAGAGCCCTCAGGTGGGAGAAGTGGAACTGATCTATCGGCTTCCCGGAAGGAAAGGGGACCCTGCGATGTCCCAGGCCCGAACGACAAGTCGGCCTTTTTTAGGGGAGGGCTTAAGCAGGGCTCCCAAAGGCGGTACAAGACTATAGATAAGAAGTGCCGCCCGGTCCCTGTGCTTGTCATGGAGGATGAGGAAGCCTATTATGAGCGGGAGCGAGGGCTGATAAGACATATGCGGGAGCGCGCGCAGGCAGGGCCGTGCCGCATCAATAACGAAAATGAGGAGGGGCTGATAATTGGCGAGCCTGGCTTCCTTTCGCCCCAGGAGAGGACCTTGATGGTGGAGACCATGAAGAGGAGGCATTGCGCATATGCGTTTAATGATGACGAGCGTGAGAGGTTGGACGTGGATAAGATCCCAATGATACGAATCCATACCGTCCCACACGGGCCGTGGAATCTAAGGGGCGCGCGATACCTGAATCCAGATGAGGAGAAGAAGGTGGTGGACTACATGGACGGGAAGATGCGGACGCACATGGCTGTCTACTCCAGTGGACCGTATGCCTCACCTTGGTTTTGTTTTATCAAGCCGAACCGGACGCTACGGTGGGTGCAGGATTTACAGCGATTGAATGCAATGACAGTGCGGGACGCGGAAGGATTGCCGAACGCGGACGCCCTGTCAGAGTCATGCGCAGGAAGACCTATAATCTCACTTATAAACCTTTATTCTAGGTATGACCAGTTTTCCGTATACCCGCCAGATAGGCCGGTAACGGCAATGCATACGCCAAGGGGGCTGATCCACATGAACGTGGCCCCTCAGGGGTGGACTAATGCGGTGACGATGGTGCAAAGACACATGATTAGGGCCATGCAGACGATTAGTTCACATATTACCCAGCCCTATATTGACGATCTGGCGGTCAAGGGTCCAAAAGAGAAGAAGGAAGACGAAGTGATGCCCGAAGTGAGACGGTTCAGCTGGAAACACATCCAGGATATCGATCAGGTCCTGGGTCTGCTGGAGGAGCACAACTTGACGGCGAGCGGCCCCAAGTCGAAGCACTGTATGAGGGAGGTCACGATCCTGGACTTTGTCTGTAATGAGAAGGGGTGGACGCCAGATGTGAAGAAAACGGAAAAGATCCTAGAATGGCCAGTCCCCTTTCAGTCGATAACGAATGTGAGGAGCTTCCTTGGGACCTGTGGGTTTGAGAAGTTTTGTGAAGGACTTCCCCACCAAGACGGAGCATTTGAGGAAGCTGGTGCGTCAGGATCAGGAGTGGATCTGGGATGAAGACCAGGAGAAGGCTGTGGAAAGGATGAAGGGAGAGTTCAAGGAAGGAGGCTTGGTGCTGGGAGCGCCGAATTATGAGGCCACGGAGGAAAGGCCATTCGTTGTCGAGACGGACGCTGGGCCAACTGCCTTAGGAGGGGTCATGATTCAGGCAGATGCAGATGGGAAGGAGAGGCTGCTAAGGTTTGAAAGTCGTACTCTCAATACGACTGAGAGGAACTACTCGCAGTTTAAGAAGGAGACGTTGGCGGTACTCCATTGCCTAAGGACCTTCCGGAACTATATCTTTGGCAGGAGGCTCATTTTGAGGGTGGACCCTACTGCGCTTGCGTGTTCCCTGAAAAGTTATACTCCAYCTGACCCAACCATCGCGAGGTGGTTGACTTACATTTGGATGTTTAACTTCGAGTTGGAGAGGATTCCAGGGGACAAGAACAGGGCAGATGGGCTGAGCCATATCAACTGGGAAGGGGCGAATCAAAGGTTGATTGAGGATACCCCGCCAGTCGACGGATTTTTGGACCAGGAGGAGGATGTCCGCCTCCACATAAATGAATGGTCGTTGAAGGTGCCTAGTTGCGTCACGCATCCCATATGGCTAGCGCCAAGGGAATACGAGCGAAGGGAGGAGTTGGTCCTCAAGCCCTTCCAGGAAGAAGATCCGTGGGGGAATAAGGATGTTGGCTGGATGATGAAGTTGGCATTGGCGGGTACACATAGTCTGGCGGAGGAGGTGAGGACGATAGAGGAAGGCCCAACCCAGGTAGAGGAGCATGAGCAATTAATGAGAGAAATGTATTTGCTCACTAATACACTCCTACAGGAGAGTTTTGACCAGAGGGGCTCATTTGGTCCTGAGGGAAGTGAACGTCTTGTTCCTATGAGCCAGGACAATGAGTTCGAAGAGGGAGAAATCAGGGAGGCCTTCCGCGCAGAAGAATATGACGGGATCTATCGGGAGTTGGGGTTACTCATATCGTGCGAAATAAGGGATAGGGACGCAAGTGCTAAAGCCCAGAAGATGAGGCATCTCTACGTAGTAAGAGATGGCCATCTGTTTATAAAGCGATAGGTTGGGAACCCCAAGAGGAACGTATATGGGAGGAACCGGCAGATCGATGTCATAGCAGCCCTACACGATGGTATAGCAGGGGGGCACAAAGGGGTTGGTGCCACGTGCGCAAAGATAAGCGAGTTATACCATTGGGATGAAATGTTGACTATGGTCATCAAGTACTGCCAGTCCTGTGTACCTTGCCAGCAGAGGTCAGTGCAAAGGCCTGGGGAGCCTCTCCACCCCAGGTTGGAAAGGGAAGTGGGTGCAGTCGTGCACCTGGACCTGTTGTTTATGCCACTCGGGGAGGATGGAAGTAACTATATCTTCGACGCATGGGACAACCTTACCGGATTCGTGGACGGTCGGGCTATTCGCACAAAGACTGACCCAGTTTTAGCAAGGTGTATCGAAGAGTATTACCTGCGCTATCCGTTTGTCAGAGAATTTGTGATGGACCGGGAGTCGGAATTCACCTGTAACGAGGTGCGGACCTTACTTGCGGGGTATGGCGTGGTAGCAAACTATACTACTGCCGCGCACCCCCAGGCGAACGCACCTGTGGAGAGGGGGCACAGTACCATCACGAATCTTCTGGCCAAATGGACTGAGGGAAGGCCTAACCAGTGACCGAAATTTCTGAGAGCAGCTTTCTTTGTGGAAAATGTTACAGTAAAAAGGACCATCAAGTATGCGCCAACCACCCTATGGTACGAGAGGCATGCCACCTTTCCCATAGAAAGTTTCATGAAGACGTGGAGGCGCCATGACTTGGAAGTGAACCTGTCTTTCGAAGAACTGCTCGATATTCGGACGCGGCAGGTGGGAGCGGCTGAGGAAAGGTTGCGAGAAGCCGCTGGTCAGGTAGAGAGGAGCCGTATGGAAGACAAGATGAGATGGGACCAGATGCCCCGTGTAAGAAAGGATCCGCTGAAGGTTGGAGATGTGGTACTGCTGTATGACTCCTCGCTGGAAAAACAATGGTCTAGGAAACTCGACAAACGGTGGCTGGGACTCTATAGGATCGTGCGGTGTGGCGAGTTTGGGGCCTACCAAATTGAAGAGTTGGATGGGGCGGGGTGGCAGGACTGGGTATCAGGGACAAGGCTGAAGAAGTTCGTGGCTAGGGAATAGGTAAGGGACCATGAGACCTCGTTAGGAATAGAGTCTTGCCCAGATATTACCCATGTTAGGTGATTAGATAGATGATTGATTGGAGTGGATGGATGTGGAGTGTATGTGGGATTTCCCTAAGCCAATAGGCTCCCTGATGTGTGCCTGTTTGTTGTCTCTCGCCTATTCTGCAAGTCTGACTTTTCGAAGGCAGTCGTGTAGAGGGGCGGGAGGGACGCACGGCCACGGCAGGGGCCCCAGAGGGCAGCGGGGAGAGGCGAGCAGCACGAGCCGCCTAGGAGGGAGCCTACGCCTGAGTTCGATGACGATAATATAGAGCTCTTCCTGGACGTTTATCGGGATCACGCGGCAAAGAGAGGGTGGTCAGTGGCGGAGAGGATTCACCACTTGAGGGGTATAGGGCGATTTGAGGAGCCTGTCGCTCAGATATGCGAGGAGGCCCTGACTTGGCCGGATATGGAGGCCGGGATGCAGCGACTGAGGGCTTCGCCCAGGGGACGTGACGACATGCCCATTCGGTTAGAGGAAGGGAACGCGGAGGAGTTTATTCCCGCGTATGAGCACTACATGTTGAGTCAGGGGATTGCGCAGGAGGAGTGGGTACAGGCCCTACTTATTTGGACAAGGGGGGCAGAGAGGCCGGTGGCCAGACAGATCCGGGAAAGAGCTTGAGATTGGGAGGACTGCCAGGCCCAGCTTAGGAGGGCGTTCGGACGGCCAGAGCGTGAGAGGCCCGAGCCCAGGGTCGAGAGGCGGAGGCGAAGCAAGAGGCCAAGGGAACCAGCGCTGAGAGAGGTGGGGCTGGCCAGAGAGAGGAGGAGGGCCCCAGCACAACGGGAGGATGAGCCCGCAAGGCCCACATCGGAGGAGGAGTCGTTCCCTGTTTGTGGCCTCCGGGCAGTTGAGTTTCGGCGGATTACGCGTGAGGAGCTGAGACCGCCTTCACCGTTGCCATAAGGGCAGGGGCTGGACATACCAGGAGAGACGTCATTTCGAAACTTAGCTACTCACCTTGATGTATCTCGATGGGAGGCCTCACGGTTGGGAGAGGGCTCAGTTGAGCCAGCGCGCTATGTGCTGTTGGAGGAGCCTTTGGACCCCGAGACGGAGACGAACATGCAGGACCGAGAGGGGCCGCAGGATCCTGAGATGGCAGCCAAGTAGCCGGATCCGGTACGGCCTCAGGGCGGGGAGGTGATCACGGTCGGAGACGATACCCCTCCATGCTCCCCAGTTCCGGAGCCAGCACAACATTCATGGCTAGAGGGGATTCCTGAGCCAGGCAGCGAGGAGATTCCGGAGTTCCCCCCAGAGACCACTGCGGTGCCTGAGCAGGAGGTAGAGATAGAGGAGCAGGGGGCGGGTGAGAGAGCGAGGATGGAGGCGATTTACGATTTACCTTCAGTTATGCCCGCGACCAAGCACCCAGCTATCGAGGAGCCCGTACTGGAAAGGCTACCGTCGACATTGCCGAGTACGAGCGATAGATTGGGGGCCGAGGCGTCGACTTCGGAAGGCCAGGGGCCGCGAGTGAGAAGAGCCCAAAGAGAAACCCGCGAAGAGAAGTCCGCCAGAGTGCGAGTCCGTTTGGACGAAATACACGCTAGGCAGGCGGAGATGGAGGCGACAGAGATAGAGCCGACACCACCGATCGAGCCCAAGGGACGGGACAGACGGACGATGAGGCGGGTGAGCTGAGGGAGATGGGGGACTTGGGGTTCTCTGCGACTAGGATGGCGATCGAGCTCGGGGATAGGAGGATGCGCGAGGTGGCGGTTACATCGTTCCAGCGGTATAGCCTACTCGACGACGAGCTTACGACCAGGAGGTTGGAGGTGGAGCATCTGACTACTCAACTTGCCGAGGAGAGGGCGAGGAGCCAGGCCCGGGAGGTCGAGTGGGAGAGGAGATTTGGAGAGATGGCAGCCGTGGTGGACAGACTCTCTACAGCCTTGGAGGCTAGCTAGGCGGGACGAGCCGGTGCCGATGGCCAGAGCCGAGGGATGCAGGCGTCGCCAAGTCAGGGAGCAGCGGTGGAGGCCCCTCGACAGGCCGAGCCAATAAGGGAGGTGCCCTCGGACACGGCCGAGGAGGAGGGTGGAGTACATGAGTCGCTTATGACTATGTCCACGGGGACGAGAGGCTCACGTTTGCATGAGCTGGCGGCAGCCATGGGGATAGGTTCCCCACAGGAGGGGCCTTAGAGACTCGACACTCCAGAGTACGCCCCGAGGTTGGGAGAGTTGAGGGCGGAGCTGGGCTCTTGGGCCACAGGGACGGACTCGGGAGGACCTGATTCAGGGCGGTAGCAGCAACAGGAGGTCATGAGTGAGCCGGCCGCCGTGGCAGGCTCTCAGCCATCAGGATTATGTGGGGGTGTGGTTGTGACAGAGAGGCCTCATGAGGAGGGACCCCAAGAGTTGGACACATCAGACTACAGGCCAGTGAGCACAGCCGTACAAGAGGGTGAGGGTGCTGAGGCTATGGAGCCCGAACCCTAGGGCCATATGGGATTGCCCTCGTGTCATGAGGTGACCCCCGAGACTATGGGGACACCTTCAGCATCGAGTTCCCAGGGGAGAAAGAAGAAGACTGCCAGGAGGCACGATACCTCCTGCTTTTGGTGCAAGAAGGAAGGGCATAGAGCCGTGGACTGCCCAGAGCTCCTCGAGGATAAGGCCGAGGGGCGAGTTGCGGAGTTCAACGACAAATTCTACGACAGGCAGGGCAGGATAGTGGAACGAGCTCCAGATGGGGGTAGGGCTCAATTATACAAACAAAACCAGGAGGAGTTGTGTGAGTAGGGGCTGGTCTGCCTATTTGCCAATAGGGCCAGAGTATTTAGCACACAAGGAACGGGTTGGAGGTGTACATAGGCTGAGTTGGCTGAGGGGGCCCTAGATGTGTACATACTTTAGGGGTGGTAGGATGAGTCCTTGCCCGCTTGTACTGCAAGCGGACGAGAGGGCAGAGTATAAGGAGGGGGAGTGCAGCCTGTTTGTGAAAAATTGTGAGAATCCTACGGGATTGATGGATTCAGAAATTTGCATGCTTAGTCATACTAAACACTATTGCTTGACGTTGTACAGGGACCCAGAAGATGGTCCCTCAGCTTGGGTTGCTTGGTGACTAAGACCCCGTTCATGGTTCTGGAAGGTGAGAATTGTGTTATTGTTGGGCCCCTTCATGGTTTTGGAAGAGGCCGTGCGAAAGGTCATCCCAAACAAAGAGGGGTGAACGCGAGATCTTTTGTGAAAGGCTCACTTTACTAAGTAAAGGTGGGTAAAACTGATTGGGATGGAAAATATTGTTTGTGTTGATAAAGTCTGACGAGAGGGAACCATGTTTGCTTGAACTGTTGAAAAGGGCGAGAGATGCCTCAGGGTGGGCGGCTGCTGGCTCTGATCAAGTCATGAGCTGCGGCCTTGTGGATCCGGCGGGGAGACTGTTTGTGATTGAGCGAAGGATGCCGTGCCTATTATAGGAGGGCCGGTAAATGCCTTCAGACCCCTGCGTAGTCCCCCAACGGCCTGTGAATTGTTTGTGATGCCCCGCCGGGCCACCTGTGCTAATTCTGAGACATATTTAAAGGAATACCAAGCTAACGGTAAAGTTTAGTGCCACCTGGGCGTAACCCCTAGTGGATGGCTGCAAGTCGGCACAACCTGGCTGCGGGCCCGCGAGGTAAGAGTTTAAGGGGAGTTGCTCGCCCTAGAGAAATTACTCCGCGGGATAGGAGTCGAGTCTTTTGGAAAGTCCTGATTGACTGATTATCAGGAAAAACGCCTATCGTTGTATAACCAGCGGGAGGATACCGCCGCTAAGGTAACAATGTGGTGGGCCGTAGACCTGGTCCGATAAACCAGGCTACGGTGGGCCCAGATGGGGACCTGGCATTTTTGTACTAGACTGCAGAAAAGGCCGAGAGAGGCTATAAACTTATACGTGTGTA